TTTGCTGTGGCCTTGGCAATGCGAACGCAAGCCTTGTTGGAATTTATATAGGTGGAGAATCAATAGATCCTGAGGGAGGTGAAGCCTTGAGGGCCCCTCCAGGAGGAAGCTCACGGCCCTTTGAAGGGCGTGCACATTTCCTTTTTCTCTTGCTCGCCGCTGGGTTTGGGGATGTTCCTGTAGCCTCCTCTGCCTCTGTTTCTCTGCCCTCCAGTTGGGTGGTGGTGAGGATATGTTGTTTTACGAGGGGCCATCGATAAGGAGGAACGCCAGATGTGGGTGAGTGCCAGCATGGGCCTGTGTTGTGTGAGCAACTTGGCCATCTAAGTGTGGAAGATACTAAAAACAGGTGTTTGTGGGCCAGAGGGCATTTTGTGAGGGAAGAGTAATGGAAAAGGAAAGCAAGTGATCCCTGAAACATTTCTGCCAGACAAGACACTTCAAAATTTCTAGTGCAATCTTTCAAACGTACTGAAAAGGCAAAGTAGAATTAAATGAACACCTGTGGCCCCAACACCCTGGTTTTTTTAAAAGATTGTATTTATTTATTTGACTCAGAGAACAAGAGAGCACAAGCAGGGGGAACAGTAGAGGGAGAGGGAGAAGCAGGCTCCCTACTCCACAGGGAGCCCTACGTGGGGCTCGATCCCAGGACCCTGGGATCATGACCTGAGCTGAAGGCAGATAGATGCCTAACTGACTGAGCCACCCAGGTGCTCCCCACAAATGCTGTTTTAAAAATCACATTACCGGGGTGCCTGGGTGGCTCAGTTGGTTGAGTGGCTGATTTGATTTCTGCTCAGGTCATGATCTCGGGGTCGCAAGATCGAGCCCCATGTCAGGTTCTGCACTCAGCAGGGAGTCTGCTCTGCAGGACTGCGGGAGATTCTCTCTCTCTCTCTCTCTGCCCCTCCCTCCGCTCACTCGCTCTCTCTCACAAATAAATAAATAAATCTTTTAAAAAAAATCACATTGCCTATTGTCATATTATTATAACTATATTGTATTTAACAATCTATTTTATTATCAATAATGTATTATAATAATGATATAACTATGACTATACCTAATAATACTGTATTGTATACTTGAAAGTTGCTGAGAGAGTAGATCTTAAAAGTTCTCATCACAAGAAAAAAAATCTGTAACTGTGTGCCGATGTATGTCAACTAGACTTATTGTGGTGATCATTTTACAATGTATATAAATCTTAAATCATTATTTTGTACACCTGAAACTAATTTAATGTTATATGCCAGTTTTACCTCAATTAAAAAAAAATCATGTTTCCATTTTGCCTTATTTGCTTTAGATTTTTAAAATAAAATGTTACCAGATATCATTAGAAGTTCACAGTATATACCCCTTCCCGGATTCTCTCCTTTTCCCCTCTCTCTAGAGGCATCTACTGTCCTGAACTTACTTTGCTCCCACACTACCATATTTGTGATATTTATCCATCTTGACTTTGGGGGCTTTTTTTTTTTTTTTTTTTTGGTTGATTGACTTTTTACTACTGTCTATCAGGGGTTGGCAAACTATGGCTCCTGGGTCAAATTTGACCTACCACCTGTTTTTATAAGTAAAGTTTTAGTGGGACACAGCCATGCCCTCTGTTTATGGATTTTCTATGGCTGCTTTGCATTACAAGGGCAGAAGCTGAGTAGTCCTGACAGAGACAAAGGCAGAATGGTTAGCAAAGCCTTAGGTATTTATGAACTGGCCCTTTATAGAAAAAGTTAGCCACCTGCTGTTGTAGAATTCTGTTGTACCAATGTAGCACGTTGTACCTATTCTCTTGTGGGTGAACATTTGGGTCATTTCTCATTTTTTTATTTTACAAACAGTGCTTCAGTAAACATTTTTGTTTTTTCAGGATTCTCCCTGGAGTGTGTAGCTGGAAGTGAAATTGCTGGGCTGGAGAGCATGGGCACCTTTTTATTGGATATTACTAAGTTGGTCTCTGAGGTCGATCTAGCAGTTTGCACTCGCACTGGTGGTCTCCGAGACCTTCTCTCCCTCCACATCCTTGCCAACAGCCTGGTATTTTAAGACCTTAAGTTTGGCCAGTGTGCTGTGATCAAAGTGGTGCTTCATCACCGATGACAGTCAACATTTTTTCCGGTTGTTATGGACCATTTGCCATTCCTCTTGTGGCAGATGCCTGGTCGTGTCCTTTGCCCATTTTCCTACTGAGTTGTTTGTCTTTTTCCTCTTGTGTTGTGAGCGATCTTTATATAACCTGGCTCCTAGTCCGCTTGGTTATATGCATTAAAGCCAGTCTGTGACTTGGTTTTCAGTTCAGTCTGGATTCTTTATTGGAACTGTGTTTTAAGGTATCGTCAATATTAGTTCATCTTGAAGATGTGTGTGATCTGTCGATACACGTCCATGCACACACACATATATGTAATGTGTACATGTGAACATACGTGCATGTGCGCACACAGATGACTTCTTTTCCAGGCGTGAGTTTGTAGGGTTGAAAGGGTGTGAGGCTGAAGAAAAGTAGGTAGATGCCAGCCCTGTCAGCAAGGTTGATTCAGCACCGATCCCCCACCAGGGTGGTCACGTCCTCGTGCAGCCGTCCCATGTTGGAGCAATTAGAGCGCCTTTCCGAGGCTGTCTGTCGGAGTGAGCTGATTGCTCCTGACACTTTGGCTGCAAACACATGACCCACAAGGTCCCAGGGAAGCTGAAGGCCACCACCACGGGATGCCAAAGGGTTTGGAGGGCTGCCTTGGACAGAAACCAAATGTGATTTGTGGTTTGAGCTTCCCCATTTTGGTTTTGGCTGAAATCAGACCTTGGTTTCATTCTGATCAAGTTGAACTGTCCTCTGGCCCACAGCAATTGAAATAATTAAAACTTATATTTTCAGGCCAGACTACTTTTGGGTGACTTTACACTGATCCATTATCTTTTTTAAAACCGAGAGCGCTGGCTTCTTCCATTCCTCTGCCTCCTCTGACCTTTCAAGTCAAACTTTCTGAGTTAAATAGTTAAAGATATTAAAAAAGAAAAAAACCAAAAACCTCTGCAGTCCTTTGGGTTTATGAAGCCCTGTGAAGTCTTCAGCTCTCGCAGCCTTAATCTGTGTGTATTTTAACAATAGCTCAGATGTAATACAAATGCCATCTTGCAGTTGAGGTCCACCAAGGGACATCACAGCTGACTTGCCCCTGTTACCATTGCAATCCCCGTGCTGCGCCTGGCACCCCGATCTGGTGCTCTTCCTACCATGTGTAATACAGGTGTGGGCTCAGTTCATTCCCCAGCATCCAGTATGTCCCCTCCTCATCATCTCCAGTATGGCCTTTGCTGGGAGGGCCACGCTCACGGGACCGAGACAGACATAACTAGGGGAGCATGTCTAACCCTCCCTGAGCATGTGCTGTGAGTCAGCTTTTGCACTGCACGTTTGCTCACATGTCATCTCATTTGATGGGCAAATTAATGCTCTAAGCAGGGCTGGCTTCATGGGGCCTGTCACCTGCATAGTTATACAGGGCCCAGCTCAGCTTGGAAGGGGCCCTTCTTGAATTTTTAATTTTTGAACAGCTGACCCTACATTTTCATTTTGCACTGGGCCCCACAACTTGTATAGCCAGTCCCATCTACAGGCAAAGACACCAAGGCTCAAAGAGGTGAAATGATTTGCTCAGGATTACACAGCTCATAACCGGCAGAGCTGGGATTGCACTGATTTCTACTTTGCTACTTCATTTATTGAAAATAGAGCTCTGGAATGAGCCTTATTTGAATTGCACTGCAGGGAACAGGGGAACAAGTTAAATTGTGCTGTGGAAATACTGATCTTCTGTGGAGATCTGCTTGTGTATTGTTAAGTAGCTTTGCGTTGACCTCCCACTGGCCAGTTGCCACCCTCTTCCTTGAGGGGAGTGACCATAGACCTATCATTTCTTTTGAGGTTCTGGAAGTGCCTAGAACAAGGACCCTCACAGGGGTGCTGCTCAGGCTGACCAAGTAGGTTGATGGGCTTCTTTGAGTGAAAAGAATTGGAGACCACTGAGTTTACTGTGGTGAGCCATAAAGATACCTGAGGGATTAAGATGCCAGTCCATAGTTATAGAACCAGAGGAATCCAACACAGCTCTTGGACCACCAGATCATCCCATCACTCCCTGGGTAGCAGAGGTTCACAGATTCCCTGACTCAGCTCCTCCTTCTGGCTTTGCTTCTCTGTGTGTCTTATGGTACCAACCATTTCACGTGTGACTCTCCCAGGAGATTCAGGTTTTGCCTCAGGCCCTTCAGAAGCACCTAGAGGTTAACCATGTGGAGTGAGGCATTGCCTTCTGGCCACATTGGTATGGTTACAGAGCACTGCCTGGTGACTTGGGCGAAGGAGCTTTTAGAATGCAGCAGGGTAAATCTTACCCTGTCCCACTCATTGGCTGGCCAGTTTCCCAGGATGGTCCTTGAGTCAGCCATCTTAGGTGATGAGCTCACTGCTTCCTGAGCAGGACACACTCCTGGCAGGAGAAGGTTCTTGGGGTTCCCGTGAACTCACTGCTTCCTGAGCAGGACACACTGTGGCTAGAGAAAGTTCTTGGGGTTCCCGTGAGTTCACTGCTTCTTGAGCAGGACAGACTTCTGGCTGGAGAAGGTTCTTGGGGTTCTCGTTGGCTCACTGCTTCCTGAGCAGGACACACTCCCGGGAGGAGAAGGTTCTCAGGGTTCCCGTGAGCTCACTGCTTCTTGAGCAGGACACGCTTCTGGCTGGAGAAAG